GGGAGCCCGGAGTGAGGTTCCGAAGGACGGCGCGCCTCGGGCCAGCCAAGGGCCAGTGTGAGCTAAGGAGGAAAATGCCAGGCCAGCCCACCAGAAACGCGAAACTGAAGGCCTGTGGGGGCCCGTCTGCTTCTGCGGCATTCAGTCTTCAAACATTTGCTCAGCCTGTTCCGTGTTCACTCTGGAAATGTGAGCCTTTGCCGTTGGAAGGAGCAGTGCTTTCCACCTCATCTTTAACTTTTCACTTATTAGGTAAGTATTTATTGAGTTCCTATTTTGTGGAAAAAAATTGTGTTGGACAATGAGAATAATTCAAAGATCATAAGAAGACACTCCCCCGCCCCCCCCCCAGGAGACAGATATTTAAATAGGGACAGTACTTTGAGGTAAATAACAAACTGGAGACGTTTCCTTACCTTTAAACACCCATGTCTTTTTGGCTCTCTTGGCCTCATCTGTGCTGCTCTTACAAGTAACACCTTTTCAACCTTTATCTCTCTCAAGAAATCTCCCCTGACAACTTGCAATTTTAATTTTATATTCCTCAGTACCATGTACTGATAAAAGTTTGTTTTGGACAAATGTATGTCCTGAGTCCTTTGTTACCTCTCTTCTAGAACTTTTATTCTCTCATGTTACAATAAATACCTGTTTTCTCCCCTTCTACTCCTTCATCCAGTTACCTATGGAATGCCTGGTGTATTCCAGATATTCTGCCTGGCCCTGGGCATGGCTAGTAATCCAACATTAGAAGAGTCTTTGCTTTTATAGAACCCACAGTCTCCTGCACGAATAGGCAGTTATCAAACAAATATATAATACTAGAGGCCCAATGCACGAAATTTGTGCAAGAGTAGGCCTTCGTTCCCCTGGCTGCCGGCTCCGGCTTCCCTCTGGCACCGGGACCTGGGCTTCCCTCACAGCCCCAGCTTCATCTGGAAGGTCGCCCAGAAGGACATCCGGTCTAATTAGCATATTATGCTTTTATTATTATAGATTGCAAATGAGATATGTGCTACTGTATCAACTTTTGCTGCTTAACAGACCAACACAAAGCCTTGTGGCATGCAACAATCCCTTAGCTAACTCAGGATTCTATCAGTCTGCTCAGCTGGGCCGTTGTAGCCAGCTGGCAGGTCTGCTGGTGGCTGGATGAGCTAGGATGGCCTCACGGAGGCAACAGAGGCAACATGTTAATGGGCACTTTTGCAGCAACATAGCACAAGTAACTAGGAAAAAGTACACAACACCAAGAGAGCATGTACTTAATAAAGGGTGTCCCAAAATTCACGCAAGATTTGAATTTTGCATGAGCATTAACAACAACAACAACAACAACAACAAAATAAAAGCCTAATTTTACTTGGTTTATTGAATCAGATTCTAATATCTGTTGCCCTTTGATTTCAATCCCTTCAATTTGATAAGCATTACCAAGTACCAATTATGGCCCAGGAGCAGGGACATATACTGTATACTTTATGAATCAATAAAAAATTTACAATTTTTAATTATAAACCTGTGTTTTCTATCAAAATTACTTCTTGCGTGAATTTTGGGACACCCTTTACAAAAGTTTGGTTTGAACTGTGTTGTCGGGAAAAGGACTTCATTGAGAAAGTGACATTTGAGCTGAGATCCCAAGACTGGGAGGGGGCTAACTAGTTGAAGAAAGAGGGAAAAACAGTTCAAAGAGTGGGACAGTGTAGGCGAATTGCCCTTCCCCCAACCCCATTCTTAGCTCTACCTAATTTACACTTACCAGAAAATCGTACCACCCTCCAGCTGATTGTTCCAGTCAAAAAACCAGTAGTCATTTTTTTCTTTTCCCCAGGCACACTGGCAATTCCTGTGAGTTGCTCTTCCGAAACATATATTCTGAGTCATTCCTTCTTCTCTTCTTCTCCATCACTGTAATCCAGGCTACTACCATCATTCACCTTTATTACAAACCTTTTTACGGGTCTCTCTGTGTCCACAGTTACACACGGCAATGCAAAGTAAAAAATGTAGATCAGATCATGCCAACCTTTCAAAGCCTCTGCTGACTGATCTGAATGTTTGTGTCTCCCCCAAATTCATGTTAGAATCCTAACCCCTAAGATAATGAATGGTATTAGGAGGTGGGCCTTTGGGAAGTACTTAAATCATGAGAGTGTAGCCCTCTGTACTGTGCCAAGAAAAAGAATACAAAAGGTGGGAAAATTCATCCATCAACCCATTCATCATTTTGTGTACAGAGTAACTGGGTTAAAGGTTTTTTTTTCTCTTTTTCTCCCTCAACCCACGATAACACTGCCTCGCCTAGGGGCAACTTGGCCGAGTAGTGTAAGTTACCGGCGGGCAGTGTGACTAACATCACAAGGTCTCAGAGCGGGAAGACTGGGCATGATGATTGTTGACACCCAGTGCTGGACTAACATTCTATCATTCAGGAAGCTCGGGCCTTCTTGTATATGATGCCAGCGTGCTTGCCTGCTGGGTGCGTTGCCTGGCCTTCGAAGAGGTGGCACAGCCAGGCAGGGATAGTCTGTTTGGACAGCATTCTGTGGCTGGCTTGCCTTCGCTGGGCATCAGGGGGGTGGCTGCAATGGTAGTTAAGGAACAATTAATTCAGGTTCCCCTTCTTAATACCAGGAGAGACGGCTCAACTTGAGGTTTCAGAGACATCAAAAGGCTTTACTGAGTAGGTTGTGCTGAGGCAACCAGGGAATTTAAATATTTAAATCAAATAAAACAAATGTGTAACAATAGGATCATCTCAGCCAATAATGGGTTCATGTTAAACCCTCCTCATTCAGGTTGTTCGTGAGAGGCCACTAGCTGGTTCTATTTTGGCTCAAGGCTGAGGACTTTTCTTATTTGCTGTCCCAGTTCTTGCCAGCCCACCTCTGGTTGGTGCTCCCTGCTGATTGTTCTGGTACACGGATCCATAAAACATTTTAAAAAATTGAATGAAACACTTTCATAATACGTTGCACCTCCACACAGAGTAGAGCCATAGTTATTTCCTCTCCATGTTCTCCGTGACTTTCTCTTACCCTCATTCCTTGGTATTTCCTGGTTCTTCCTTGATCTGTTCTTGGATTATCTACCTGTAACAACCTGGTTTTTCTGCTAGCCTGTTCCCTGCCTCTCATTGGTACCTTTCCTCTCAGCTTGTAGTCTTGCCTCATTCAAACCCAACCCAACCCAACCCAAACCTAAAACTGATAACACCCATAATCACAAGCATGGCCCTTGTCTGCCTGAGAGCTTCACAGCCAATAATTATAGGAATACATTTCCTTTTCCCACCATAAGCACCCTATGCTCCTGTAGTCCCTCAGATACAGTGTCCTCTTTGGTGGTTCTATTTTAAAATGTTCCTGTACTGGAACATGTGTGCTGCCCAGAGAGCACTCCCCCCCCCCCCCCCCCCCCCCATTAGAGCTCAGTCGCCTCTGCTGCTGAGGTTTACACCCTCTCGTTTCCAATCCTCAGCGTTTGTTCTTAATTCCGTTACTGTGTTGACATGCTTTGTTTTTGTGATTGCTTGTTCCTTGATCTCAAATTGTGCCGTCGTCCTTTTGTATACCATGCCCCTTGAATAGCATCTGTCACAGAGTAAGCCCACTAAAGGTTGAAGAATGCATGTGCTGTTCTTGAATTTTTTTGCAACTTTAACAGTCCAGGATTATATAAATGTTGATAAAATAATGGCAGCAAATTCATGGAATAGCACCTATTTAAGTGTGCCTACTATGTGCTAGTCCCTGCCCTGGTGCTTGGCATGCATCAGAGAACAAACACAGATCCCTGTGCCCTTGAGCAGTGGTTCTCAACCTTCCTAATGCCGCGACCCTTTAATACAGTTCCTCATGTTGTGGTGACCCCCAACCATAAAATTATTTTCGTTGCTACTTCATAACTGTAATTTTGCTACTGTTCTGAATCATCATGTAAATATCTGATATGCAGGATGTATTTTCATTGTTACAAATTGAACATAATTAAAGCATAGTGATTAATCACAAAAACAATATGTAATTATATATGTGTTTTCCGATGGTCTTAGGCGACCCCTGTGAAAGGGTCGTTCGACCCCCAAAGGGGTCTCGACCCACAGGTTGAGAACCACTGCCCTTGAGTTTACTTAGTGATGCGATGCAGGCAGAGAATACTAGATGGCGTAAATAATCCAATTCTGTAGTATGTTAGAAGGCAATGACTGCTACAACAAAAGACAAAAAGTAGAGCAGGTCAGAGAGATTAGCTGTGCTAGTGCCACGGTGGACAATTTCCAGTTCCTCCCTGTTGTTTTTAAGTATGGCATCTACTGATAACCAACACTCAAGCTAAACAGCTGCAGCACTTTATGAACTCATTTAATTCTCATCCTACCCACATAAGGTAGGCATTATTATTCTATTATCTTTATTAATATAATTAGGAAGTGAAAGCAGAGATTCAGGAACTTGACGAAGGTTACACAGCTAGTACACAGCAGAGCTGGAATTTGAACCCAGGCAGTCTGATCTAAAAGTTCATGTTTGTTTGTTTTTTAAAAATATATACTTTTATTGATTTTTTTTTTAGAGAGAGGAAGAGAGAGGGAGAGATAGAAACATCAATCTGCTGCCTCCTGCATGCTCCCTACTGGGGATCAAGCCTGCAACCTGGGCATGTGCTCTGATTGGGAATCGAACCAGTGACCTCTTGGTTCATAGGTCAACACTCCACCACCGAGCCACACCAACTGGGCTAAAAGTTCATGTTTTTAATCAGTATTAATTAGTACTCTGATATCTATAGAAGGTAATGCATTTCCTAACTTCTCCACTTTTTCAATATACTGTAATTCTTTTAAAAACAGTAGTTTTATTGAAAGATAAGAAATCTCTGTACATCCAGGGGGCAGCAAGCTATTGCTTTTTAAACTGTTTAATTGTAGTTAATAAGCCCTCAAATAAGAAAATGAAAGTCTTTTCTTGGCTTTTCTTTATTCTTTTAGAGTAAAATTAATTACTGTTATGCTCTAAGTAACATTTAAAATATTACTTTGAAGTCATAAATTTACAGAAAGAGTATCATCATTTTGATCTGAATTGATTGAAATATCAGCATCACAAATATTTTTCCACTTAGATTTTATATTTTAAGATGCCAGAATGTGTTTATTCTTTACATATGTTTTATTTGCTGTTTTCAAAAGCAGAGAATGGAATAAAATGGGTATTTATGCTTATGTATTCTTAATTAGAAATGAAATT